TAAGTTTGATTCGCGCCAAAATTTTGCCATATACGCTTAACAAAAACAGTATTCAATTGTTGATGTATACCTTGATCACGAATTCGAGTTCGAATCCCCATCATATTACTGAGATTTGAAGGTATATTTTTTTCTTTTGTTAATGTTTTTTACCCAATTTGACACATATCAGACTCTTAACAATCTTTAAACCTCTTATATTAGAGCCACCTATTTTAACTTTATTTATTATTTTTATTTATTTTAATTATTTTTAATCTTAAAGATTCTCTTACAACACCATTGGAGGTGCTCTTAAATCTTAAGAATGACATGTTTTACGTATCTACGGCTAAGTTCAAACAAATATTGGTATAAGTACTAGATAAATCAAAGAATATTTCGGTTTAAACAAGCAATTTCATCCGAAATGCAATTCTGATGTGGTGGAAATGCATTTTTGGTAATATGTATCATTTTACTCTAGTGGAAACCTAATCTGGTAGCAAATTACCATACATTTAGATTTAGATGCAAATTTGATTTTACACAAACCTACGAAACACATCAAGATCAACTGCTATTTTAGCTAATAGTAACCAACCACATCTCCTCTACATCTTAACTCGCATATATTTTCTTTAAATTTTATTAGAAAGAGTTCAATTTCTTCTTTAAGATGTTGGGCATTCGTGATTTTCATGCTTTAATGTTTGAATTATAATCTCATAATTCTAGAAATTCCAATTATTTAGATATTTAATTTTTATGTATCTCTAACTAAATATATCGTAGAAGCTCCTTTGGCCCATTGGTTGACCAAGGGTTGATTAATGCTTCTACACCAAAAAGTCTGGGGTTCGAGTCCCAGGTATTGCGATTTATTAACAAATTTGCAGATTAATGGAGGCAAGTGTGCAAGAGATCTCCAGCGATGTACAATTATAGCCGTTCGCCAGGATTCTACGCAGAGAAGGAAGTGTCGCCAGATCGTGGATCATTGAAGGTATTCATCAAGATTACGAAGAAGGAAGTGTAGTCTATCGTGAATCTAGTAAGGGTCGGAAGAAATTGTCAGTTGTAGAATCGTCTATGTAACAGTCCTCATAATTTGCAATTAATAATAAATTTAGACGACAAAAAAAAAAAAAAAAAAAAAACTAAATATATCAAATTCCCTATTAGATATGGGCCCTGTTCTAAAAATCCCTGCCTAGCCCCGATTACTCCCCGTTTAATCGCTAGGCCCACCCTATCCGCCTCGATTAATGACTAATCCCCTAAAAAAATTAGTAACCCGATTATTCTCCGCCTAATCCGATTACTTCCCGCCTAATCCGATTATTTTCCACCTAATCTTATATACCCCGATTATTTTTTAGATTGCAAGTATAGAAAAACCTTTTATTTTTGTTATTCAATCATTTGAATGAGGAGTTTGTGATGTTTTACAATAACTTGTGTTCAAATTTTAATAAAAATCATAAATTTGTAATAAAAATCATAAATTTTTACAATATTGGATTAATATATTTTAAAAATATTAAAATAACCCTAAAACTAATCCCCGATTAATCCCCGATTTTAATCCAATTTTTCGATTAATCGCTAGGCCCATGCCGAGCGCCCGACTAGCGCCTAGCGATTTTTCAAACAAGGGATATGGGTATGGCTAGAAGACAAAAACTTAAGTGAAAGTAAAAATTGAGTTTAATCTATAACAATTGCTCCACTCAACATAAACAGAACAACTTTTTTCTTTTCTCCTTCGTTTTGTTGAATACTCGTGGGGAATACCAACTTTTTGGTTACTCTAATTAATATTTTCATTTCCTCCAATATCAATTCTTCTCTATTCATCTTTTTACTCTAACACCAATCACACATTATGTGTTTTTTTTTAATTATTATAAGCATTCACCAGTCACACTTATAAATGTGTGTACGTAAGAAAAATTTGTATTGTACGTGTGTAGAATAAATACGAGAGACATATACCACACACAAAAAAAAAAAAAACTGAAATCGTTTGATAAAAAAAGACAAGTTTTGAAATAACTGAAGGAAATCGAAAGACTTCCACGACATGCTTGAAGATAAGAGTTAAGGTGACTGACAATGATCTCGTCCATTGTTGTATACTTGTATTTATGTTTCACCTCATTCTCTTGTTTTTAATATTAATATATTTCTTTGCCATACTTTTTGCCAGAAAATAAAGAAAATTAATTGTGTTTACTTTTTTGTACAAATTAAATTGTTTTGTTTGTTGTGTTTCCATGCATGACCAGTCATACATATTGGTCCAATACCGGTCCTTCCTTTTAATTATGTCGATTGGGTAAAGTTCCACAATGGATAGATCGAAAGTAAATGTTATTTTTGGCATCCAACTGAATTAAATAGATATATACCACAATTCACTGGACAAAACAGTGGATTTCACTAAGACAAACCATTAATTTGGGAGAATAGATTCATAAATCTATAGATAATTTATGGGAATGTAATAAAAGTTGTTATTCAAAGACAAAAGAGACCCAAAAACAAAACAAAAAAGCCGTTGTCCAGTTGTTGTTGCCACGTCGACGTAAACTTCATTGCCGACACCGAAAAAAGCTTGAAAGGGTCCCAAACCTTATCTATATTTTATGTCGAAGAAGACCCTATAGTCTTATCTACAAAATAATATTTCAGTTACTATTTGTTATTTGAAAGTAACGCGGTTCACAGATTTGGTTAGGTGGCTATTGATCGGGTCCAAAGCCCTTTTGCTGATATTTATTTCTCTTCTATTTTCACGTCGACATGTACACAAACAAAGACCCACCACCTCACCGAGTTTCTTCTACTTACGGTACGAATCATGATTAAATGATATTCCAAATATCAATGAGATTACTCAAATGTATATTTTAATAAGTTGTACTTTTAGCAAAAATTTATATAGAAGTTTTTGTTAAGAGACTGAAAATATCTAAAACTAAAGTGTTAGCAACCATGTGATCACTATTCTTTCTCATATAAACAAAAATATTACTCAATGAATGCGTTAAGCCGTTAATACCATTGGTTAAGGAATAGACATAAAGTTGTAAACTTTTGTTTTACAACTTTATGTAAACCCTTTGTATAATGCGGATTTTAGTAAACTTTTACAGAGGGTTGTTTTTTTTTTTTTTTTTTTACAGAGTGTTATGGGTCACTTCTTAGTTCTTAGGTACAACATATTAGTTTAAGAATTTAATGCGATTTATGTAGATTAACCCCACTTTACAAATTCTAGAACAAAAGAGACGAAAACAAATGGTTATCACTAGTTGTAGTGTTGTACGTCTAGATTTGAAATCATAGGCCTAATTAGTACCAATAAACAGTCTTATGTATTATTAACAAAATCAAGAATAATCTTTAGATTATAGATAAGATCAAAATAGTAAGAGATTCGGGGGAATCAAATTTAGTAGATTTTACTTTGTAAGCTTCGTCGCTTTCACGAATCACGATCAAATATATATATATATATATATATATATATATATATATATATATGTACATTTGGAAAATTTTTGCAATAGGGATTGTGTAAGAATATTGACTTCTATGACTTGGAATAAAGGTTTGTTGGCAAAGAAAAAATAAATCGTAAAAGGTTTAGACTGACTGGAAATCGAATTTGCTAGAGAGGCTTTGTAAGAACACAACGACCAATTTTAAATTGCGGAATATCATACTATAATTGTGTGATATGTGGATGATACAAGAAGAATCAAATATAAGGATTTTCAAACTATTTATACTCATAATCATTGTATGGGAGACGTGACTCCTACTAGTAATTTTCATGAATTATTTGGCATGCCTTGCAATCAAAGGAAATATTTAATCACACAAAACAAGTATCACTATTATTCCAAAATTAAATATCAGGTTATTATATTTTACCACATTTTCTAATGTTGTCGGTATACAACGAATCAATCACATGTAATATAACATTTTGGTGACAAGAGGGCAAAATAAAACTAATTAAATGGTACGTGTCTCTCCTGCCAAAATAAGTTATTTATACTTAACTTGCCTATGCCTGAGCAAGTTATACCATTTCTAACTCCATATTACACCAAATTATTCGGTGGGAAAACGGAAACATACAAAAATTTATATATAAACTTATTTAATGTGGTCGAACACTAGGGGTGGGCACAAGGTGAGTACTTGCTATTTTAGGGAGATTTATTACTTGGTTTGCCTTGTACGAGTAATAAAAATTAGTACTTGTGTTTGACTTGTTGAAAACGAGTACTTGTAATTTCGAGTATTTGCTAAAAAATGAGCGACTTGCGAGTTACTTGCCTTGCCTTATTACTTGCTATTTGTGAGTTACTTATAAGTATTTACGAATTACTTGCAAGTAATTTGCAAGTAATTTGCAAGTAACACTTTCAAAAATTTTACATATTTAAATTTTACTTTACTTTTGATGTAACTTTTAATTATGTTCTTAAAACTAATATAATATATGAAATATATATATATAAAATGGTAAAATAATAACGAATGATGGGTCAAACAAGCCGAGTATTAATTTTTTTTCCACTACTTGTTGCTTGAATTGCACTTGCAAGTATCTAAATTATACTACTTGATACTTGGATTGACAACAACGGGTACTTGTTTTTTTAAGACGGTACGAGACGAGTAACGAGTACGAGACGAGTAACGAGTAGTTGTGCCCACATAGCTCATCGATTATCCGTTATCCTTCGCGAATATGATGGGCCTTTATATATGCCCGGCCCAAGCAATTTCTGTACGCGACTTCAGGGCAAAAAAAATTGGGACAATATATCCATCAACATAAACTATTTTTAAAGGGTCATCTTTGAGGTTTATTTTGTGAAAGATTAGGTTCATATTTGGACCTAAGAACTTCTACCCTATGTTATAATATTGTATTATGTCCGATACTTATATGTATAATGTATTAATATTTTTCATAATAGATAGGGCGATATATAGGGGGGTTCGTCGTCCGACTAAAATACTTAGCGTACCGTGTGTTCCACGCTTACACATTATCATTTTCCCCACACACACATAAAAGTCCATAGAGAAGATGTATACGTATATTCTCTAGCTCACATATATGTCGTGACTCGTGTATAGATATTTGCACACACATACTTCAATTCAAGCATCACATTTTCAAGAAAATGGCTTCCCTCGTGTTAACAGTTTCACTTCTCTTGGCAACTTTCGCTTCTTCTCTTGTAGAGACTGCTCATAGTAATAATGTAACCATCCCCAGGGTATCACTAAATGTAATTGATGCTTGCTGGCGAAGAAACCCTAATTGGGCCACTAACCGTCAAGCCCTAGCACATTGCGCGGTAGGGTACGGGAAAGCCGCAGTAGGGGGGAAACACGGGCCGATCTACGTGGTTACAAACCCATCAGACAACCCTACAAGCCCTAGCCCCGGAACCTTAAGATTTGCGGTGACCCAACCAAAACCACTATGGATCACATTCGCACGTGACATGGTGATAGTGTTGAAAAGCGAGCTCATGGTGAACAGCTACAAGACGATCGATGGGAGAGGGGCAAAAGTTGAAATAGCCAACGGGCCATGCTTAAGGATCAAACAAGTGAGCCATGTCATTATACATGGTATTAGTATCCATGATTGTAAACCAGGTTCCAAAGGATGGGATGGTGACGGAATACGAGTTTTTCAATCTACACATGTTTGGATCGATCATTGTTTCTTTTCTCGGTGTCAAGATGGTTTGATCGATGTGATTCTTTCTTCTACGGCTATCACTATTTCTAATAACTACTTCACGCAGCATGATAAAGTAAGTTTACATTATCATAACTTTAACTTTTAAAAATAAATTTGATATTTTATTAATTATTATGAAGGTGATATTACTCGGACATGATGACAATTACATGGGAGATAAAATCATGAGAGTTACCATTGCATTCAATACTTTTGGACCGGGTCTGATTGAGAGAATGCCTAGGTGAGTATATATGTTGATAGGTTTAATTTAATTGAACTAGCTAGATAATTTATAAAAGCTGATCATAGATCTATGATTGATGGTGTGGGAGGGTGAGGAGAGGGTATGCGCATGTAGCAAACAATAGGTACGAGAAATGGCAAATGTATGCGATTGGAGGAAGTGCTAATCCAATTATCTTTAGTGAAGGCAACTACTTCGTTGCTCCCGACAAAGCTAGCAACAAACAGGTATCTTCATTTTAAATTGTAATATGTAAGTAGTTTAAATGATGCACTGAAATATCATCTCAAATTAAAAAAAAAAAAAACATTAGACCTAACATATTGTATGATGCATTTGGGTTAATATATTCATTCTCAATTGATTTTGAGTTGAAAGAATCCATGGATACTTAAAATAGTGTCGTGTTTGAATACAACATTGTGTATACATATGTAGGTGACGAAGAGAATGGGTGCGGGACCTGATTCTAAAAGATGGAAATGGGGTACGGCTAAAGACGTTTTCATGAACGGAGCTTTCTTCGTGCCGTCTGGCGGAATAGTCAGGCCATTGTACAAAGCAGGAGAGGGGTTTCAGGTCGCCCATGGCTCTCTCGTCCCTTCTCTTACTTCCTCTGCCGGTCCTCTCCGTTGCTACGCAGGCAGGATTTGCTAATCAATTTACCCATCTTTATATCATTGTAGTCTCAAACTTAGGCAAATTAATTAACAAAAAAAAAAGAAAAACTTGGGAAAACGAAAAGACAAAAGAAAAATCAAATCATTTAATTGCCAACTCTCTAGTCTCATGTCAGACACAAGTTTAGAGCGACATTCTCTGCTACTCTTAAGGTATGCTCTTCAAACAACAATTTATTCACTATGGAGAGAAAGAAACAATCGCTTGACAAAAAACACAAGAAGAATCAAATCGTTGATCCCACTTCACCATACGATGCACCATGGCAAGAGTTGCATCACTAACAACCTAATCCTAGTCTTATTATACTTGTTTACGTAGGATTCTTACATTTATCTATATAGAATTAATTTTGTCGAGATCATAACGGGTTTGACCGACCGGTAAATCTTCATACATTTAAGCCAATCAACATTGACTATGTCTTGGTCTTGAATCAGACCTTAAAAGAGAAGAATCACGTTTTGTTTTTAAATAGAAAACCGGTTGTGCCAAAATTCGATAGAACATGGCATTCAAACCTCTTCACCGACAACCCTCACTCCAGTCTCCAATGTTATGTGTACCCGACATGGGCCTATCGGATCATTCATCGACATATCTTGTCTAGGCTTTGATGGGCCTTGACTCGTTTCTTCTTTCCTTTTCTTTTGTTCAAAGCTGAGTGAAGGCTATTTTACTTCCTTTGGATAGTGATACTTTGACATTTTTTTTTGGGTGTCAAAGTGATACATTGACAATTCAAGTCTCTTAATTATGATCTAACTCATACGTATAATGAAAACTACATCTCCTGTCCTTTTCGGAGGATATTTTTTTCTGTAAATTAATTCAAAAACTAAAATAAAGGTTAGATGAAACAGTGTCTCCCGTTAGGAAAGCATGTTGCAAAAAATTGAGCTGAGTAGCTTTTTATCACATACAGTCTTATAATACCTTTCCCTTTTTACGTGTGTTAAAAGATGTACCGAAAAGTAAAAGGCGTATAATCAGCATTCGAATAGACTTTTTCTTTGGTAAAAGGTCAAATTATCCATTTTCAAAATGATCAGAATTCGTATTTCTAAACAAAATTTGACAAAATAGATAAATATCCACCAATTGTAAAGAGGATTACCATTTCGAAGAATCATATCATAATATAAGTGATTGTTTACGTTACGATAAAAGATGATCCAAATTACTATCTTCAAACGAAAGTTTTTTTTGTATTTTTTGATAAAAATCTTTAAATATATTACAGTTGAACAAAATATCAATAAATTATACAGGATGTAACAAAATTTCATAAAGATATTGTGTTCAAAAAACCGCTAGACGCTAATCGGACGGTGATCCAAAGCCTAACACTTAGAATGCCTAATCGGGATCTAGGTAATTTTAGGCGGTTAAAACGTTTACAACATAAAACATTATAAATTGGTTATAATTATATATAAAAAATGAAATTATACAAAAACATGCATTAGAATAATAAAAAATATTAAATCATAAACAAAAAGGTAGACAAAAAATTTAATTTAATTCATATCAAACAACATATGAACATTTAAAATTATGTATATGGAGGAAAAACTTATAAATTTGAATTTGTCTGGTGAAATTTTTTAAAAACATATTAAAACAAAATTTATATAATTTTAGGCGGTCGTTTAGGCGTTGCGTGAGCGCCTAGTGTTTAGAGATGGTCTATGTGACCACATAAACCAATTACATGTATATATTCGACAATAATTTGACAAAGGTATTTTTTGGAAAGAAAAAAAAACTCCTACTTAGATAACCTGTATTTGTGTGATGAGCTGTAAATAATATCTTTGTCAAATTATTGTCAAATATATACATCTTCGTCATAGTTTATAAACAGAAATATCTTTATAAAATTTTATTAGATCCCCCACCAAATAGAATATATATTTTAAAATATTTTAGGATTGATTATTAGACTGCACAGATATGAACCAGATATCCAACTTTCTTTATATTCTTTTGTGGCCTACATCATCGATATGATTCCACTACTAGATCTTAAAAGTGCATGCTCATGTTTATTTATTTATCGTGAAACCAAATTATGTCACTTTCTTATATCATTTCTTCGCACTTCCCTATCATTTACCGATTGTTTTGTTATATATCTATTTACATTGTTACATTACTTTCTTAGATCCATAACCGTTGTGAAGATTACAATTTTAGGCACTTACAGTCTAACATGAAACTGTGAGGTTTGCCGTTTAGTGCATCCCTATATTTCTAACGTATTTTTCAAGTTCCAACATATCTAGGATTCCGATTACATGTGTTATAAAATTAATCTTGAAGTTGTCATAATATCAAGTGGAATGTAGTACTATTAAATTGCTTAGAGTGAAATAAAATTTTAAATAAAAATGCAATTAATTGTAGTAGGTATGAGACATGATAAACCGGGCCACCCTTAGTTCAATGCAACTTTTTCTCTAGCACATTGCATTTGACTCTTTCTTGGATTTCACATTTTCCTCAAGTATATCAATTATGACAACAATCCACCTTATAATATACACTTTTATATGATAAAGAGTTTCCTTTTGATATTGTAAAATTTAGTTCGAGGAACCTCATATTTTAAATAATATTAACATAATCTTATATTTTTCTTCTTAAGTAGAACTATAAATAAAAATTAAAAAGTCATGATAAACGGTCACAAAAATCAAATAAAATGAAAATTTTCGTAGAGATTGAAACAAATAAAATAAGTGAAGTAATAAAACTCTAATCATTTTATAGAATAGAACAATTTATAAAAATAAAATAATTAATAAAATTTCTCACTAGTGATATCATATGCTATAGCATCCACCATAAACTATATACAGAGACAGCCCTAACCGCAAGCTAGTGAGGCGTATGCTTGCGGTCCAATATTATATATGTTTTAATCGACTTCATTTATGTAAAAGTCTCATTAGTCTAGTGGTTTAGGGGTATTGAAATACTACTGAAATCTCGAGTTTGATCTCTTGTTGCGTTTTGATTTTTTTTCCTTTGTTTACAAAATAATTCGGCCTAAACACTAAATTGGGTTTGTGGCCCCAATATTTCTTGCGTCGGCTCTGACTATGTAATATCCATAGACAAACATCTACTATTCATCGTAAACTAGATGGTGTCCACAGAAACCCTGCAACATATGATCACCTTAGACGGATAGACCAAATAATGTCTACTAAAACTATCTACCATCCATCCGTAATTATTTCATGCATTTTGGAAATGATTCAATACCGCATAATGTAAAATATATTGAAAACTAAAACGTTATTGAGGAGATATGAACAATGTTATTTTAGAGAGATTATGTAGTCCATCAGACTGTGTGTTGTTGATAAATGATGATGGATTCTTTGTAAGCATAAGTAGGTGGTTCAATTATTTGGGAGCGAACATAATTCGACTATTTGACGGTATAATGCGTTCGTGGTAAATTAAAGACAACCAGCAAAACGGACATAGACTCTCCGAGTTTCAATTCAAAAAGAGACAAGATAATTAATTATCCTCAAAATAGGAGTAAAACTCTCAACCTAAACTTTTGGTTAGGGAAAGATAGAAGAAATGTGCTCCCTCCAACACATAATCGATGCATTTGTTTAGTGGAGATGTATGTGTGTAATCATGTGCCTCCGTTTTCCTTCGTTCTACATCCTCTTTTACTAGTAGTGAAAGGGTATTGATATATATATATATATATATATATATATATATATAAAACTCGGTATTGGAATCGAATGTTGACTGGTTAGGTTAGGTTTTTCTAGTTGTACGAATTTTTAGGTTAGGTTAGGTTAAGAGCATCTAATGTACTTTGTTTAAAACCACTCATAAGTACAGTATCTTAGGATTAAAATAATAATATTTTCTATTATTTAATTAGATTTTAATTTTAAAACCACTCATAAAATCAATTAAAGCAAGACAAGTGTTAAGAAAAGAATACTATAGAGGAGGAATTTTTTTTTTTCTTACTTCTAAAAACTTAATTAATCTTCATAACCAATATCGTTGTTTAAAAAAGTTGCAAGGAATCTAGGACAAGAATGATAAAGACGCCAATTTGTAGGACTAGAAATTGACTTTCGGGCTAATAGATTCGCACATAAGTTCTGTTCTTGGTGGCGAAAACTGAACTTTTTCAAAGAAAACATTTGACTCCATGGCCATATTGTTTCAAGATTGTGGTGTAGCTGTGGAGTGGTGATGTTCTCATTTACAAATCGGTTGATGTTCGTATTGTCTCCTTTGAATTCTATCACTTTATAAGTGCCTAAGTGGACTGCATTGTCCAAAGTAGTATTGTGCATTCTGTTTCTTTTGGTGTTATTCAGATCGACCTTGAAATTTTCCAAATCCGCAGTCAAAGACTGCCGTTAGAGTTACGTATTATCCATACTAGTACAAAAGCGCGATCAATGTCATGGTGCAATGCATCTTAGTTACACTTTTTCCATCCCAATGTTGGTTTAACCCATTTTGTATTTCGATCTCTTAGGGCCTGACTGCTTTAAACGCAGCGGTTGCGGTTGCGGTTGCGGGAGTTTGCGGAAGCGGGCGGTTGCGGCTTCAAGCGTTACCAAGTGTTTTGAACGACTGGTTTAGCGTTTGAAAATGGATGCGTTTGAGAGAGTTTTATGACTGCTAAACTAGTGGGTGCGGTAGCAGTTAAATAAAAAAAATGACCAAAATAAATAAGAAATATACTAAAAAAAATATAAAAACACCAATATATTATTATGATAATATTAGAAAAATTGAACATGCTTAATAATTAAAACCATAAATAAAGTACTAAATAATTATTTAAAAATAAAGAAATTTTAATACAAGATTATAAGTATAGGATTAATATATATAGTAATAAGTAAACGTTTTTTTTTGTTTTTTTTTTATTTTTTGCTTTTTTAGTCTAACCGCAACCGCAAACGCCTGCGGGACGGAGATTTTGAAATCCAGCGATTTGGAGCGGTTCAAAACAGTATGGAGCGGTTTCTATAATTGATACCAACCGCTAACAATCGCAACCGACCGCTAGGCGGGTGCTAGCGGAAGAACCAATCAAGCTCTTATTTGAGAAAAACGAGACCAATTACAATAGATATATAGTAAATTTAATTTTGATATCTTATTTAAAAATTAATAAATTTATTGTTGTGTTTATAATTATAGTTATTTGTATGGAACCAAAAGAGAATATTAATATACAACTTTGTAAAGACTATATGTTATATTTGAGATTTATATGTCTAGAAATACTTGTTCCTTAAATCCTTATAGTATTGACGAATTATTTGCTTTTTTTCCTCAAGTAAAGAAATAACC